GCCCTGCTCTGGGCCTCACTGTCCTCTTCCTGACGCCCTGCTCTGGGCCTCACTGTCCTCTTCCTGACGCCCTGCTCTAGGCCTCACTGTCCTCTTACTAACAGCAGCTACTCATGCTGCACCATGCACGTGTTACAGGCAGGGAAACTGAGGCTTCAGCAGGTGGACTCCTGTCCAATGCTACCCATCTGGGAAGTGGATGAGCCGGGATAGAACCCAAGTCCCAAGCATTGAAGGTCCTGCCCACGTCAAGAACCCTGCTTCTGCCAACGGGGTGGGGAGGTGGCTCAGGCAGAAGGGAAGCGGCAGGGGCAGGACTCAGGGCAGCTCAGAAGCTGGCCCAGGCTGTGGGCGGCCCTTGAGAGCAGAGGGTGTGGAGTGAGCTGACTTCCCAGGGCTGGGCGTGTTGCGGGAGCACAAGGTGGGTGGTGAGGCCATAGGGCTTGAGCCAGGAGGGGTTGGAGGCCTCCTAGTCTTGTGGGGCAGGAGGAGGGCTGCAGAGACCCTTGTGCAGGGCTAGAAGGGGCTCCATCTGACTCTGCCTTCCCATCCCAGGAACGCAGACCTGTCCATCACACTGGGCACCTCGCTGCAAATCCGGCCCAGCGGGAACCTGCCCCTCGCCACCAAGCGCCGAGGAGGCCGACTGGTCATTGTCAACCTTCAGCCCACAAAGCATGTATGTTCTGAGCCCACCCTGACATGCTCCCTGCCCCAGCCTCCCTCCCCTCCCGACCTCTGCCTCAGCCTGACCTGTCTTTGCCCCCGCAGGACCGCCACGCCGACCTCCGTATCCATGGCTATGTGGACGAGGTCATGACCAGGCTCATGAAGCACCTGAGCCTGGAGATCCCCGCCTGGGACGGCCCCCACGTGCTGGAGAGGGCGCTTCCCCCCCTGCCCCGCCCACCCGCCCCCAAGCTGGAGCCCAAGGAGGAGGCCCCCACCCAGCTCAACGGCCCAGCACCCGCCAGCCCCAAGCCGGAGCCCTCAGCAGAGCCCTGCACCCAGCACAATGGCTCCGGGCCCGCCAGCCCCAAGAGGGAGCATCTGGACAGTCCTGCGCCGCACAGGCCCCCCAAAAGGGTGAAGGCCGAGGTGGCCCCCAGCTGACCCGGGGGCCCGGGGAGGGTGGGGCTTTTTATAGAAACCATGGATTCATCTTTTCTTACTGGTCTCACTTTGTTACTTGTACCTGCCCGTGGGGGTGGGGGGGCGACCTCAGGGTGCTGATTGCCGGGCTCCAGACCCCAGGGCAGGCTCACCCTCCACTGCCTCTCTCTCTAGCTCTAGGGGCCTCCGGTGTGGGCCTGGGGAGGAGCATTTACACCCTGGACATGGACCTTGGATCTGACACCCCAGGCATCTGCTCCTCCTGGGCCCCAGCCCCTGACTCAGGATGTTCTGGGGAGGTGTGGCCAGGCCCTCCCTAGTTCCCGGTGTAAACAAGGTTAACTCTCTCTGGCCCTGGGCCCTCACACTCCCCTTCCCCTGCCCCCCCCCAAATCGCCTTCACAGTCCCTCCGGGAGGTGGGGGGGGGGCAGAGTCACCATTCAGGAGCCAGACTTCATGGTGGCACAGACAATGGGGTTTACACTGCCTCTGGGGCTAGAGGGAGAAAGGGGTGTGTCCACCTGGCTGCCTCCAGGCTTCCAAAGAAGTCTTCAATGCAATAAAAGCAGAAATTCTTGCGTCTGAGTCTGTGTTTGGCATTCATAACCTTGTGCCAGGTCCTAGTCCTGACAGGACTGCATGGTCCCCTTGCCCCTGGGGACCCTACTGGGCCTCTCTGCAAACCAGGCCTGGAGGCGAAGGAGGAGGGGCATACCACACCTGGCATTCCTGGAGCCCCCAGTGTGTGATGATGTGCCTGTGTGCGTGGTTTCTAAATATTTGCCCTCCACTGCTAGGCTGTGAGCCCCGTGAGGCTAGGGGCCGTGCGCTTTGGTCTGGTTCGAAGCCCCTGGCCCCTGCTCAGAGCCGGTGGCGTCACCACACATTAGGAGAGCACAGGCACAGCTGGGTTCCAGCCAGGTCCCTTCACTTCCCATGCCGGAAAAACAAGTCTCCCCACCCGGAAAACAAGCAGGGTGGGCTGTGCAGCCCCCAGGAAGGCGGGTCCCCAGGCCTTCCGTGGACACCCTGAAGGGCTCCCTGCGATCTGCTTGCGGCCGCTCTCCAAGGTGCTGAAGGCACCCCTGGGGCCTGGCAGGCCGCCTTCCCAGCCTGGGGGTCTGACTGCACCTCCCTCCCCATCCCAGGCTGGCCCAGCCCCTCCTTCCAGGAGTTGAGGAGCCCGAGACTCTGCTTCAGCTCCCACCCTAATGCCACTTTGTGCCAGCCGTGTTCTGTCAAAATACTTTATTAAGAAAAAAAAATACTTTATTAAGGATCTCTGTGATCTTAGAAAAGAGGGGTGGCTGTGGGCCAGGGTCCCCACAGACTCAGCCGGTTTCTCTTCCCTCTGTGCAGGAGGCAGGGAGGAGTCTGGGGGCAGGGGAGCTGTTGAGGCATGGGGTGTGTGTGTGTGTGTGTCTGTCTGGGTCTGTGGATCACTCTGTATGTGTCTGCCTGTTCCTTTCCCTGGATCTGTGTATTTCTCAGGCTTCGTGGCCCTGTGGTTGCCCTGTGAGCGTGTTCTGTGTGTATCTGGGTCCATGGGTTTGTGCGTCTCCATCCTGGCTCTTACGCCAGGTCTCACCTCTCACCCCCATGCCTGTTGTCACTGTCCACAGAAGGGCCCCTAAGCCCAGGGGCCTGCGGGCACATTGGGATGGTGCTCACAGCTCTTCCCCTGCTGCCTCCAATCCCACCCGTCCAGAGCTGAGCGCTGGCTCGGTCCCAGTCCAGCCCAGCAGGGTGGCCCCGTTCAGCTTCTCCGTTGAGTTGTCCGGGACCAGTGTGGAGTTGTCTGGGATCAGAGTCGAGTTGTCCAGCCCCTTCGTCAAGTTGTCCAGAGCCGACATGCCCCGAGATTCCCAGTCCACCGTGGGGCTGCCTGGAGACCCTTCCTGGGATGTGCCATCCTTGGACCGTGGTCCTGGGCCCTCGGAGCCTGGTGTGGTGTCGGGGGCCACGCGGGATGCAGCATCGTTGTGCAAAGTTCTGGAGAAAACTGAACAAGGGTTGGGAGGATCATGAGGGGTGGGGTGGGGGACTGGTGTCCCTCCGTTCCCTAGCCCCAGCCTCAAGGAGTAGCGAGCAGGCAAGGGGATCCCCTCCATGTCCCCCAGAGGCCCAGTATAGAGACTTGGGGAAACAAGGGGATTGTGCCCATGATGCAGCCCGGGGGGGTTTTGAGGACAGAGCATCCCTAGCCCACCTACCTCGAACAGGTGCATAGTCTCCGGCGTTCTCGGCTTTGTTGGTGACGAAAGGGCTAATGGAGGGCAGGACGATGAGGGCAAAGGAGAGCAGCAGGACCTGGCAGAGATGGGGGAGGTCACCCCATCCCTCCCCCCACCCTGTGAGCAAAGAAACTGAGGCCCAGAAGATGAGATCGTGCTTGAATTGGGGCTCAGGCTGTGCTCAGCTCCCCACACAGACCCCCTTTGCCAAGGCTGAGGACCCCCTTTATCCTGGGGACCAGGACTTACCGCTATGCAAGTGCCCGTCTGGGCCGACTTGCTGGTGGACTGGACCACAATGGCCTGGAGTTTCTTCAGCTGCTCCAAGAGGGATCTTAGTGGGAATGGGAGGGTCTTGGCTCAGCCCCATGGGGCTGTGATCTGACTCCCATCCATTCCTGGGATCTCCCAGACTGGCTGATGTCTGAACCCCATTCATCCCTCACGGCCCCACTGGTCTTTAGAGTCCCAGACTCTCTCTCTTTGCTTCAGTAAATCTCCCTGAACATCCCACCCCCTTGCACCCACTCACTTCTCTGCCACCCCACCTCCCTGATCCAGGCCACCATCTTCTATCACTGAAATGCCAGCTCCAGCCTCTACTCTGGCCCCCCTAAGGCCCCTCCTGCCACCCTAGGGTTAATGCTCCAAGCAGTAGCCAGATGGCACTTTTCAAATGTAAGTGGGCTTCTCTCCATCCTCCCCTGGGGTAAAAGCCCAAGTCCTCCCCATGGCCCCCAAGGCTCTGCATGACCTGCCCCATCCCCTCCCTGCCCTCCCCTCCTCCCTCTCTCCCCCTCACCCACTCTGCTCCAGCCACAAGGGCTCACGTGCTGTTTCTGCTACATGCCAGACCTGGTCCCGCCCCAAGACTTTTGCACATGCTGGTTCCCTCTGTACCAAGGACACTATTCCCCCAGGTCTTCTTGTAGCTGGTTCTTTCTCATCCATCAGGTCTTATCTCAAAAGTCACCTTATCTGACCTCCCTGCCCAGAATAGGCCCCACTTGCTCTCCAGTGCCTTTATCCTGCTTCGCTCTTACCCTCAGTGACAATCACTATTTGAAAACAATCCTATATTTTCATTTGTCTTGAGTATGTCTCCCACTAGACCATGAGTTCTCTAAGTCAGGAGACTGTCTGTTTGTTTACTGTTGTGGTTCCATTGCCCAGAACAATGCCTGGCACAGACGAAGTGCTAAATATATGTTGAGTAGATGCACCTCTTAGATGGAACACACGCAGTCCTCCAGGATGCTGTGTTTCTAGCCTCTGGCCATTCATGTGTCATTTCCTCCACCGGAAATACCTGTCCCCAAGTCCAAGTGCCCTCCTTTATGCAGCCTGCCCCCTTTCTAGGTGGAGCCATTACCCCCTGCTCTGCTTTGCCATCACAGAGGCTGTCCCCCACATTGTCCACCTCTCCTGCAAGGGACTCTGGGGGCCAGCTACCCCTGTCCTCTGCCACAGCTAGACCAAGACTCACAGGTTCTGCTTCTCGAGATGCAAGACCTTCCTCTGAAGCTCCTGGTTCTGGGCAGTGCAGGCTGACATCCTGCAGGGACAATGTCACAGTGACATTCAGAATATGCCTGTCACCAACTGGCCCAGCTGACCTCTCCCTGTCAGGCCCCACTTGACAGGCAGGGTACCTGAGGTTAGAGATGGGACGTCACTCATCCAAATACACCGGGCCAGTTTGTGGACAGGGCCATGATCTGAACCCAGGTCTGCCTGGCTCCTAGATCCCACATCTGCATTGATGTGGGGGCTTCACACTAGTCTGTGCCCCCAGGACTGGGAATGGAATGCCCAACTTGGGCAGTGATGCTTCCAGAAGACCAAGGAGTAGGATGACTGGGAGTCTAAGGAGAACCAAGTTACAATCCTCACCCTCCCCGTGAGCTCAAGCCACTCTACTCTGTGAGCTCAGCCCCCTCACCTGTAAAATGGGGCAACAATTACCTAGTTCACAGAGTGTTTGGGAGAATGACATGAAATAAGGTTGATTAGGGGCTTTGTAGATTGCATCTGAGGAACATGACAATGGTGATCCATCCATCTAGGGATCCCAGATCCAGGCTGGGGCCCCACCTTTCCCGTCTGCATCCCTCTGTGATCGTGGTCTTGGCCCAGACCACTCAGATGTGGAATTGAAATACACAAATCCCAGCATGTGAATACGTTGGTCTTCACATTGCATCCAGGGAAAGGAATAAGCGCCCCCCCACACACACACACTGAAAGGCCCTTCTTTTGAATAACTCATGGGATAGAAAAGAATCCATGATGTAGATTAAGGAAGACCCAAGAACCCAATGGTAACGTCACTGGTGCAAATCACAATGCGTGAGGGGCAGCTAACGCAGGGCCGGGAGGGACAGATCTTTACCAGCCTTTATACAGCTCAACAAGCGAATGCACACATGTTGAAAGTTAGCAAAAGGACAACAGATCAAACTCCCTCCAAAATAAAGCATCAAGGAAGAACATACTAAAGCTAAGAGCAATAAGACTGATGAATCACTGAACTCTACCTCCAAAACTAATAATACACTATATGTTAATTAATTGAATTTAAATAAATTAAAAATAATAATAAAGATAAGAGCAGAAATGGAAGAACTAGAATACAAAAATACAGGTGGGTGGGAGGAAAAGCCAGAAAGCCATTCTCTGGCAAGAATAAGTAAATAAATAAGTCTCTGACAAGATGAATCAAGAAGATGAAGGAGAAAAAGAAGGCACAAATGAACAGCATGAATTTATTAAAATGGGTATGACTGCCAACAACATAGAGCTTAGCAAAATAGTAAGAGATACCTATGAACCATTTTGTGGTGATACATTTGTAACGGACAACTTCCCAGAAATGTATGACATCCCAAAACTGACTTGGGAAGACAGAACACCCAAATAAACCCATAACACTCCATCAAGTCAGTCCCAGGTTAGGAAGTGAGCGTGCTCACTTGTTACGTTTCTGTTAAAGAAGAAAGAGGAGCCTGTCCCCTTACATGAATTAAGAGAGAGGTGACTGGATGAAACTGGGGTCACAGTTTTTCAGTTGAGGAATTTCTGCCAGGAATGATGTCCCCTCTGTCCTTCCCAACACACACACTCAAGGAAGCCGTGATAGCTGAGGACCAGGGATGCTCAGACTGGGGGAGTAAGCACCCCATCTTCAGGCAGAGAGCCAGAACAAGATGGGCCATACATTCTCCTTTCTTGGTGCCACATATTCTAGGGGATAAAGGGACCTCGAGACTGAGCCCTCTGCCATCTCTAGGCATCTTTCCATCCTTGCAGTTCACATGAAAAATAACCTCTCCCCCAGAGTCGAAAAAAAAA